AAAAAAACCATCAAAAAACCAAACAGAAGAGATTTATAAGGCCTAATGTCAAGTGCAACATTTAGGTTCAAAAAGATCAATTATATAAATTCAAAATAGGAAGACCTAAGTTGGCAGCAGACCTAACACAAGGCAAAATTTAAGGGTGAGGGTAACCAAAAACCTCAAATAGAGGCCAACCGTGTGACACATGACGGAGAAAGCCAGTGTGTGCTTGTTAGAAATGGTCTCCAGATCAAGGAACACGACCATTTCGTTCTGCTGTAAACCGGTCGGATTAGTTCCACAGTACTTGATCCAGTTCTAACAGTTGGATTTAAAGAGGGAAAATGATTAATTGAATGACTTCTAGAGAAAAATGACAAAGAGGAGATAGTGTCCTGAAAAAGGTCTTTTGAGAGACAGCTAAGAGAGCCAGCAACGTCCCCTGAAGAAAGACCACACTTTAATGGAGACAGGGTGGTCACATCTGAATGCCACAGGTGCTGCTGCATCGAAGATCAGCAGGAGCCAGAATTAGCACTGACTGGTACGCACTACAAGAAAACAGTTCTTTGGCTTGTTTTATAAAGGAACTTTCTTTTTTTTTTTTTTTTTTTTTTTTCTTTTTGTCTTTTTTACTGAACGGTAACGGGATCGCAACCCTTGGTGTCGCGCCCGTACCGGGGACCGGCAATGGGATCGCAACCCTCGGTGTTGCGTCCGCACCGCGCTCAGCCAGTGAGCGGGAACCGGTCTCCACATGGGATCCGAACCCTCGGCGGGAGCGCCGCCACACTCCCAAGCGGCGCACTCTCCAGTGCGCCACCGGGCCGGCCCATATAAAGGAACTTTCTAAGAATGTAATCTGTCTAATAACTGGAAAGGCTACCTCAAAAAATACCAGGTCTTTGTCCCTAAAACTCAGTAAGTATTTCTCCAAGTCTCTGTAGACAGAACTCCTGCTTTCCATGGGAGGTTGAATCAGAGAGCTCTTCAAAGTCCCTGATAATGCCAGCATTCCATGATCCTGAAATTATTATTTCATTCCACTATCAGCAAACACAAGGAACTCCAAAGGAGAGGCTTCCCTTCACTTTTGGGACAATGTACGAAAGTTGTACTGGAAGGACGGAAAACTCTGCAGCAGAAACAAACAGCAAGTCCACGAACTCTGCTTTCATTAATATCACTCTTGTGAAATTCCTTCTTGCAAAATCTACTTCTGTGACAATCTTGTGAGTCCTAGCCTGCAGTGGTGACTCCTGGGAGAGATGAGTTGTCCTCCCTGATGACAGCATGGTGAAAATCGTCCCGTGCGTGGGCCACAATGGATGGCAATTTCTGTTGAGCTGAGTATCAGAGGACGTTCCTCACATCGTCTACCCAACTCCAACAACTAACCCTACCCTTTATCCCACTTCTCTTGCTTCTCTTCACCGGCTTAAGAAGGCCACTTAAGAAGGACATCCTTAAGAAGGAAGTCCCTGGCATCACAGAAATACACCCATTTAATTGGAGACATATTCGCGGTGACATAATCTGATAAGAATGAGGAGACGTGAAACCCAAGTAATGATCAAGTAAATCGTCAAGTGTGAAAGGAGATCAGGGTGTTGGAAACTCTAGAGAGACACCAGATAACCTTCATGGCACCTTCACACTAACGAGCAAAACCTTTTCAATAAAGTCTCTCACAGTCCATGTGCCAACCAAGGTATGAGCCCAGGTGTTTAAGCCTTGGGTCCCTCATGTCCCCATCTGGTCTGAGTTATTTAGACATATTTTACAAGAAAGTCAAGTTTGTGCTACGGCTCAGGTTTCCATGGCCTTCTATTTGGTCATCTCATCCTATCCTCTCACAGGGCAGGGAGTGAAAGTGGTGTGCCAGGGGCCGGGAGGAACTCGGTGTGCACGAAACAAAGTGAGGACCCTGACCCAGGAACTCCCATTCTTTGCTTCTGTCAACTGTGTCCTTTCTCATTTGAGGGAATTTGGGTCTGCTGGAAAATGCCAGTGTTCCAGGAGTCTAGAGGCAAATCCTCTCTAATTTGGAGGCTACAAGGAGCAGTTCCAGTAGGACCAGATCCTCCCTCCATGTTTGCTACTGGACCACTCCTCATCTCATGGAGAGGGAACATGAAAATAGGCTGTCCCAGGAAACCAGGAGAGATGATTCCAGTCCCACTTTCACCTCTACTACACATACAACTTTGGGGGAGCCACCATGTGGGACAAAGAAGGCCATTAGAAGGAACCCCCCAAGCATAGGGGTTTATAGTGAGAAAGCTCAAAGGATTTGCATCTGCATTGGGCTATTGGGACTTGGCTTCCAGGTCAGAAAGAAAGGCCTCTTTTACTAGAGTCTGCTGAAAAAATTAAAAATCCATTAATAGGTAAATCAGCAGAAGTGACACTTTTCCGAGATGTCATAAACCATTCTTTCCTTAAAGAGCTTAAAACCATTTGCACTCCAATCAGAAGGTTCCGTGCACCCTCTTTCTCCTGCATCCAGAGATGGCCAGACCGGAAGAGTCTCTCTCCATGAATTCTAGCGATATTAACTAGGTCCACTTTGGAAAGCATCAGCCCTTCTATAATGCTACTCCCCGGAATCTCAGTTTGGTTCCATGAGCTGTGGCTCCATTTAAAGAGAAGGGGGCAGTTGGCAGCTCTGTCTCCTCGCTTGCTGGCTGCTGCCCACTGGAGTTGCTTACTCTGTTGCAGAGCTTAGACCCCCTGGTCTGAAGTCACACTGGGATGTAAAAATGCACAGATGGGCCGATGAGGGCTAAATGAGATAATGGATGTCAAAGCTCCTTTAAAACCATAAAATTTGACACAAATGTTTGCAATTACTATGATGACAAACTCAGGGCCAGTTTTACATGGAGAGAAAGCAGTTTCCCTACGTCCCTCTAGGCCCTAGGACATCACCATCGTAGGGGATTGAAATTCTTTCTATTTTAAGCCTGGTGTCCAGATATGGAATCAACTATCCCTTCAGATATGCTCACAGGGACATAAGTGTACACGCATATACTGGGTTCTTTCCTGAAAGCAAATCTTAATGGGTGGAGATTTCTGGGCATCTAGAACGGGAGCAGAGAGAGTGCCAAGAGAGGAAGAAAAGAAAATATTGAAAGAGAAGAGGAAGAAAAACAAGTTGAAAGGGTAGGAGGAGGCATCTTCAAAAACAGAGCATAACTGTGAAGCAAGGTGAAGGATATCCATTTGGAATTCCAGGAGGAATGCGATGACAAACAATGACAAGGAAAATGCCCCGTGTCAACGTCACTCTATCCCTTGTGTCCTTACTAACCTATGGGGATCTGTAAGCAATTTTGCCAAACCCTGAAATCCAAATAGATGGAGATGGTTCTAAACAAAATGTGCTTTAAGCATATAATCACGGGTTGGCTGATAGTTTCCTCATTGTTTCTGAACACCGATAATGCCGAGGTTTGCCAAAGTCATTTGGGTTGCTATGATCATGTGATTACGGCCCAGGTACTGTCTGGCTCCGAGGCCGGCTGAGCTACTCTGAGTTTGACAAGAACCACACCACTAAAATCCCCCTTAATTTCTTGAAGATGCTGCATCAGCACTCACTGCTAGGAGAAAAAAAGGAACTGACATCGTTTTCTAAACATGCAGCATTAATTTTCCTATTCAATCTAAATTCAGCCCAAAATCTAAACAACCGCTTAAAGCACACCCACACTAAATGAAATTTCAAATCACAAATGAAAGAGGGAGCGTTCATTGCCACAGGAGCTGTCACCAGCCACAATAAAATCCGCCTCCATCTACAGGGGCTGCCATCACAAACTTCTCAAGATAAACCTGTGAGTTACCAACATCTTCACTTAAAACTCTGCAGTGTCCTTGGATTTTCCAGAGACAAACAGGAGAATGTGACCTTGAGTGCCCACCACCAAACCCACTGGCTGGAGAGTAGCACGTCTGCAGCGGAGCCACCTGCCGAGGGCTGGGCAATGGTCGGCAGTGGGCAGCAGTTCCGAGCAGTGGGCCAGTCTCTGACAGCAGGCTCCACTCAACGATGGCCTCGGACGGGCCTCCCCCAGCAAAATGGGCCGGCACTTGCCAGCAATTAAGAAATAATGGCGTGGCGCTGGTGCATTTGGCAGAATCGGGTTTTCCCTGGGTCACCTGACTGCCTATTTCGTAGGGAATATGGCCTATGAGATGGGGCACACTCTCACTCATAACCCAGCAGGGAGTTATTCTGTTCAGATAGGACACCTGGCTCCAGGTACTGAGCAGGCTCCAGTTTCTGAACTTCATTAAGGCGATGAATGGTACCATATCAAACAGAAAAAGTTGCCACCTTCCCTCCCCCAAAGCTGTTTTCTTGGGAGCTTACTGACTGGTCAAATGAAGGAACATCGCCTCTGAATGACACTGGACTCTGGTTTACTTAGAAGTAATCACAGAGAAACAACACAGACTCCGACATTTGTTTTCTTTCCACTCAATCCCCCATTGTAAGCTGTAACACTAGGAAAATCCCTTTATGTTTAATCTCTGGGTAGCCGACTATTTTCCTGATTTCAACTCTGCAAATCCTCATCCTGAGCTTAAGAATGTGTCGCACATTCTCTGCCCAGTGTGCATTATGCTCTTTCAAGTTCACCTGGCCTCAGGGAGAGAACTCCTGCCACTTGCCTGGGGCGCTCTCCACACCTTAACTGCTAAATCCCTGAGGGCACAAAGTAGGACTTCTCCTTCACTTATATCCCTCTGGTATCAGGTAGAGTGTTAATCACATAGTAGGTATTCAATAAGTATCAACTGAAGAAATGACTGCAGCACATAAAAATGGAAGTTGTTGGAATTTAGGTATGGATGGGATCTAAGAATGCATCAGCATTTTCTGAACCTAAGCATTCAATAGATGCTTCCTGAATGAATGAATCAGTGCATGAAGAAGTTACCTTCCAGTTAACAGCTGCGAACAAGTTGTTTGGACTGAAGAAATGTCCCAGGGAGATTTGTAACCTCTTCACCCAGGCTTTTGAGTTGTACCAATGTAGATGTGCATGCACACATGTGCACACGAGTGTGTGTGTGTGTGTGTGTGTGTGAGGCCATGTAGTGAGGGAGAAGAGACTGGACCCATGCATGTGTCTTCAGGCCTGGAAAAGGCTCTCATGGTCCTACCTTGTTGTGATACTGCAGCATCTGAGTAATGATTCTTATCTTCGGATGGTAGTTCTTTATGGAGATTACCCTGAAAAAGAAAGAACCGAAGGTGAGGCAGGGTCTGCCTTACCCATGGAGTCTGACAGGAAGATTAATTTCACAATTTCCAAATGGGTGCAGGAGGGGCCAGCAGCCAGGGCCATCCAGAAGGGCTGCAGGCACTGGGCCAAGTTAAACTGTGTTGCCACCACCATACTTCTTGGTAGTATGAAAAAGAAATCACACAAAATGATTATATTACGTATTGTTGAATATAGTAATTATCCTGATTTGAGCATCACATATTACACACAGGTATTGATATTCAATGCAGTACCCCACAGGCATGTACAATTATGTTTCAATAAATTAAATAATAATAATAAATTAAAATATGCAGGAGAAAAAAAAAAAGAAGGAAAGAAATCACAAAACGGCCACAGTCTATGTCCTGAGCATTAAAAAAGCGAGGGACCCTGTGCTGCCTTGGTGATGGTATATGTGCATATGTGAAAAGGGGGTGGAGGTTCTGGAGTGGGGGTCACAGGCTCACTGCCTATATAGTCATCTAAAGCAAGCTGAAATCACTTGCTTTCCAGAGGTCTGCAATCTCCCACACCCCAGGGACCAGCCTAGAAACAATCTGCTCCAAGTCTGATAGCCCAAGTTAACAACTTGAAACAACAATGGCAAACCAAACAAGCAGCGTGACAAATGGTTCTACTTGTCACACACATTCTTGGCCACTCTCACAAAAATGATTTCTAAGTCGAACTCTTAGGATGAGATCAAGGACTCAGCCTTCCGTAGCTAATGGAGCCTAAACGAAGATGGGAACACGCTTTAAAAAGAAGTTCCAAGGGGCCGGCCCGGTGGCGCACTGCTACAGTGTGCCGCTTGGTAGCGCGGCGGCACTCCCGCCGAGGGTTTGGATCCCACATACAGACCGGCCGCTCACTGGCTGAGCGAGGTGCGGGCGCAACACCGAGGGTTGCGATCCCGTTGCCGGTCCCGGTCCGGTACGGGCACGACACTGAGGGTTGCGATCCGTTGCCGGTCACGAAAAAAGACAAAAAGGAAAAAAAAAAAAAGAAGAAGTTCCAAGGCCTCAAAGAAGTCTCGATCTGGTGGAGACCACCCCCAGTCACCCTCAGTCCATTCTCAGTACTAACCACTGAGCCCCCACCCCCTCCCCTTAAAAGTGCTCCCGTGTCAATCACTGTGCAACAGGGAAGGGCACGGAAACACCTGGGCTCCAGTTGCAGCTGTTGGACTAATGAACTGGGTGACCTTCAGGAAGTCTCTGGGCTCTCTGTTCCTGTTTCCTCATCTGGACACTGGGGGCAACGGTACCTGCTTTATTTACTTCACAGGCTTGGTATGAGCAGCAAATGCGAGACCAGATGTGAAAATGCTTTGAAACCATTAAAAGCTCTCTCCACATGTAAGTTATGGTTTTTGTCATTACTGACTCTGTCAGAGGTGACATTGTACATTTCCTCCTATGACCAGGAAGGCTCAAGAATGGAATTCCACGGAAAGGCCCACCTCCTAGGCCTAATCAGGAATGCAAAGGCATTTGTTATGACCGCCCCCACCAACTTCCCACCAGGCTGGTCCGCTGCAGCCCTGCTTGTGCAGAGACAGAGAGCAGGCAGCCAGGGAGCAGCTTTATCTCAAGAGCTGCAACTTGTGAATTTAGGAAATGGATCATGCGAAAGCGTCTCCCTGCACAAATCCACTCGGCTTTTTGCACTTGAAGGATTTCATTTTATTTTTGAAAAAGTATGGTGTTGGCCCGTGCTTATAACTCAAGGACTCTGAGCCTCTGTCAGCCTCTCAGTGCAGGTCACAGCATCAGCCAGTTTTCTGCATTAGCTCATTTCAAATGGATCTTTGACATTTTAATTTCAAAAGGGGCAGACTGGTCTCATTAAACTAAGGAGGAAGGAGGATTATACAAATAAGAGAAAGACAGAGCCCATTTTTAACCCTGAACTTCTCCCACTTCCTTTGGCTGCCTGGGCCTTAGTGTGGTTCTAGTTAGTCCGTGGCTTCATTACATTTCTGATACTACCTCTGTCCAGTAATATCTCTGCCTTGGCATCCTGCCAGTCACCCGGCACCTATATGTGTTCCTATTAACCCATTCACAGTCAGGGTTTAAATAAAATATGGCAATAAAGAAAAACGCCCATTTCAGAGCTATTACTACTTTCTATTATTCACTGAGGGGGTGGGAGGGACTGTACCAGCCCCAAACTTTTCTGCGGTCAAAATGTTAAGCTTCATCTTTTTTGGTTTTTCCCTTTAAATTTTGAAGAGTTCCTTAAAGGCTATATATTTTTATCATTTCAAATGACAGAAAAACGTGTCAAAGGATAGAAATCCTACTTATTTCAAAGGAAGGAACAAATGACACACGGTAAACTGAAGCTGGTGTAGTCACCTTCCAGCTGTGACTAGTTAGGGATGGGACCCTTTGGGAAGTGGGTCCCCATGCCACCCTCTCTCTGCAGCCCACAAGCCCAGTGCTTACGATAGTTCATGCACAAACCCCTTAACATGACAGTTGTCAGCACACCGCAGAGAAAAGTGCATGGAAAGAGAAGACTGTCAGATGCTGCCTGCCAGACACAAGGACCAGATGCTTCGGGGAGCACTTGCTCATCTGATATGCACCAGAGGAATCCCCCGCCTCACGGATGGGGAAAGCTTAGTCACCTGGGGCCACCGACGAGAAGTAAAGATGAAAGAGATGCGAGCCCTGTAATGACATAAAGCAACTTCCCAACCCTCAACCTCAGGTAAATTCCCAGGACAAAGTAAACAAAGCTGCAGGGAGAGGTGAAATCTGTCTGCACCAAGCATGGCTGTTCGCAATTAGGCAAGCGATCCTGGGAATACCGTGGGAGTGAAATGTTTTCTCTTAGTTCATCTCCTCTCCAGAAGGTTCTCTGGATTATTCCCTCGCAGCTCTCTTAAGTATTCTGCAATTTATGCTAGAGTAGAGACAAATTCCAAAAGGGCTTTAACTATTGGGAGCAAAATCGTCATTTCATAGTCACAGCATGTGACTGTGGGTTTATCTAAAGAGAAAAAACGGAATAATTTTTCTTTCGAAATGAGAAAAGAACAAGGTGTTGAAGTTGGTGCTTAGCCAAGCATGGGATGGGCCTAACCCATTTTCAGAACAGACACTGGGCTGTGTTTCCCATGGCTTCCTCCCCCTGCTAAACAGTGTGTTAAAAAAAGAGTGGGGGCTGGTAGTCAAACAGGTTTGAGAAATGCTCTGTAGAACAGCAGAACAGACACTGGGCTGTGTTTCCCATGGCTTCCTCCCCCTGCTAAACGGTGTGTTAAAAAAAGAGTGGGGGCTGGTAGTCAAACAGGTTTGAGAAATGCTCTGTAGAACATCATCTCGGATTCACATTAGTAGTAAAAGCACTGAGAAGGCTTTCAGTGAAGAACACAATCTAATTTGGAGAAACTGGTTGAAACAAGCTAGCTTCTCTGCGAGGTGATTCTGATCAAGACGCTGCAGACACACTTGGAAAGCTCTCACAAGGGGGTTCTCAACCCCTTCGCTATTGACATTTGGGGCCAGATAAGTCTCCTTTGCAGGGGGCTGTCCTGTGCATCGTAGGACATTTAGCAGCATCCCTGACCTCTACCCATCAATGCCACCAACACCATCCCTTAGTTATGATGGCCAAAAAATATCTCTAGACACTGCAGATTGTCCCCTGGGGGGCAAAATTACTCCCAGTGAAAACATCTCAATCCACTTCCCCTTAGGGAACATGGTACCTTAACTGAGGTCAGCACCCATCCAAATCTCTTTCCTTTTCTAGCTCTACCTCAAGGGATCTCAAACCCCAGACCAGCCGTGAGTCCCAGAGCTCCCATCTGCTATGGGTGAGCTGGCCATTGGTGGCGCCCTGGGCACCTCCACAACACCACAGCCTCAGCTCCCCAGGCCTATGCAGGTGGCAAGTTGAGGGGTGGCTTATGGGGGAAAGAAGGTTCCACAGAGATAGACCTCTGAAGAGGACCCCCATCCCCATCCCCCCTGAGTTACCTCATGATGTTGGAGGCATCTTCAGCGTCCGGGTCAGCGCAGTACTTGTTGGCAAGGATGAGGCATGCATCTGCTGACTCTATCTAAGACACCAAAAGGAAAACCCAGAACACAAACATATAAAATAGCCAAGCTCAACTGCAGTCTCTCTCTGTTGACATCTCTTGGGGAACCTGGTGCTTTGCAAGAAAGAAAAATACAATGCTGAGAGATTATAGTTTTTGTCAAAAGTGCAGGTTGCAAGTTCTTCTTATGGTAGAAACATTTCGTCTTGTTGCTGTTGAAGGGTACAATGTGTACCTTGGTAATTACACTTTTCATTTGGCATAGTGGCTTACATGTAGGATTTCCAGACTTCTTCAAACAACAAGTAATTAAGCCCTTCAGTCCCCTCCCCACCTCCTTTCTCGACCATCCACCCCATCGTCCTAATTTTTCCAGTTGGGAAATGGAGGTAGGTGGGCTAAATTCCTTCTCACAGGTGAGCAAGTTAACTGAGTAGCTGGGTATTCAGAAATTTAGATTTCAAAGTCCTTCATTATTTGTGGACTAAGAAGAGATCAGAGGTCTAAATCAGATAACAGCTCAGTATTGTTTAGTATTCAATTAGCATTCAGATATTCAAAAGACAACAAATCCATTGTGTGAAATTATATGTTACAGATGAACTCAAAATACAACCTATTGACTTATCTAAACATGAGCCAAAAGGGATTTATTCCTTAGAGGGGACCGTGAGTTTGATGTGCTAATAACTGCTTGCATTTAAATTAGGTCCATGAACAATAACTGTTTTTTCTACATTCTCATAAGATTTCACATCAGCCATCACTTGGGTCATGTCTGGATAATATTAAGATTAACTGGACTATATAAGCATAAGAATTCTCATGCTGGCTCAGGTCTGCAGTCTGTCCTACTTGGTAGACCACTCTGCATTTGGTTGGGGGGTGGGGCATGGTTTCCCCCATAGTATGTCACAAATTGTCTCTAAATGTCTTTAATAATGCAAAGAATTTCCCCAAATCCTTTTGGATTATTCATGTTTGCCTATTATATTATTTACAGAACTATGTGGTGACCAGAGTTAGCATTCAGACTTCAGTGGATTCACAATATTAATGTACATGCTTACAAAATTTACGTAAAATCAGTGAAATGGGTGATGCCATTTGCCCGTGTCGCTTTCCCTTCTAAGCCTCAGGCATGCTTTATGAGAAGATTCTAATAGTAGGTCCTGGAGAGAAAGATCAGCCCACTACCAAGTGATGTCAGATACCTGTACATTTAGTTTTGCACCTTGAGTGTTTGGTGGGGGGAAAAAAAGAAGCTCAAGATATTATGGCTTAGTAAAATTTTATATTATACTTTACCCTAATGATTCTTTCAGATGTCAGTAATAGATGTCAGAGCTATGTTGAGTCCAACTTAAGTATTCAAGATGAAAACTACCTGATTATTGTGTTGTGTATAAGACTACTGAATCTGTGCAACTGGTCTACTTCCTTCAGGAGTGGCTGATATTGAGGAAAACAGTAAAATAAGTTTCATGTTAGGACCTGACAAAGTGTGGAATGCTTATAGGTGGTCCAGCAGGTGTCAGCAGCACAAGGTCCTGGGGCCAGAAGGTGGCTGATGTCAAGGCTGGTGCTATCTGACTTATCTCACTAGGGGTTTAGGAGATGACTCCTGGCCATCCTGGGAGCATGTCCCCTCCCCACAGAGTCAGACCACCCCCCAAGAGGGAATAAGAGCAGAAGTCAACTCTTCCTCCTTACCTTGACTCTTGCAAGATCATGTGGATTGAGGACTGAACCCTGATAAAATTCCACCTGAGTAAAATGCCGTTTGAACAGAGCTTCAAGCTCCAGGTTAGGTGAAATGCTGCATGGGGAGAAAAGAAACAGCCATTAATTTAATGAACTTGGGACTTCAGCCTCTGGCCTCTCTTCCCTCTAATCTCCACAGTGAGACCTGGGGAAAGGTTTTGCACTTCCAAGTAGCTCCCTTTCTTGCCATAAATACAAGGCCCACACTCAAGAGAAGTAAAACCTCCACCCAACTGAAAACCAAAACCAGTATCGAGGTAAAACCAATCACAACAATTCCTTGAATTTGTTAAGACGAGTGAACAGATATGACGTACAGGGGAAGGGGAGAGAGAGGGGGGAAGAGGAACGTGTGAAGGGTCACGAAAATCATCTACAATGTGTACTGAGAAGTTAAAATAAAATAAATAAATATTTGATTAAAAAAAAATAAAAGAGGTTCGTGGCCTTTACAAAGTCTGAGGCCTGTGAGGCGAAACGTCCTCAGCTGTGCTATGAATGGAGTCCCTACTTTATGAACAGAGAAGCAGAGACCATGACGCCGTGGTGACGGTTAATTTTATGTGTCAACTTGATCACGCCACAGGGTACCCAGCTTGAGTATGATTTCTGGGTGTGTCTGTGAGGGTGTTTTCAGACGAGATTAGTATCTGAATCAGCAGGCTCAGTTAACAGTCCTCCTCCACGTGAGTGCACATCGTCCAATGCTTTGAGGGCCTGAATAGAATGAAAAGGTAGGGGAAGGAGGAATTTGTCCCCTCTGCTTCTTGCCTGCCTGCTTCCGTGGGACACCTATTTCTTTTTTTCCTGCCCCTGGACTAGGATTTATGTCACGGTCTGCCCTGGTTTTCAGGCCTTTGGAGTCAAACTGATTCCACCACCAGCTTTCCTGGGTCTCCAGCTTGTGATCGTGGGACTTCTCAACCTCCACAATCAAGTGAGCCAACTCCTCATAATAAATCTCTCAAGAGATGGATAAAAACACATAGTGATAGATATGTCAATATCTTTATCTGTATCTCCCACTGATTCTGCTTCTCTGGAGAACCCTGACTAATACAACCAGGGATGAGTCCAAGTGTCCCCTAGCAGAGCCATCCTGCGATTTCTTCCATCAGGAGACCTTCCCCTGCTTCTGCCTCATGGACTTCTCATCCCCCAAGACTTAGATCAAAAAGTCACCTCCGAGCAGCCACAGACAGACTTAATTTACTCTCGGTTCCATTCTTGACTCACACATGTGCTCATCCCACCTCTTAGTGCTGAGCTGTATGGGCACCTCTCTCACGGAGGACAAGGATTAAATGATCGATTGACCTATTTGTTCCTTTATTAGTTCTGCACAGATAAAAAATACCCTGTACATGTACAATGCTAGGCACAGGGAGATGATATTTAGTTACAATCTACTATGTGGCAGGGACTGCTAAATCAAGTGTGTATACTGCTTGTCCCACCTCTTAGTGCTGAGCTGTATGGGCACCTCTCTCATGGAGGACAAGGATTAAATGATCAATTGACCTATTTGTTCCTTTATTAATTCTGCACAGATAAAAAAATACCCTGTACATGTACAACGCTAGGCACAGGGAGATGATATTTAGTTACAATCTACTATGTGGCAGGGACTGCTAAATCAACACTGCCTAACATCTATTAAGGACTTAGTAATAATACTCATTGTTAATGTTTTTGAGCATTTACTTTGTGGCAGAGTTCTAAGCACTTGATAAGTATTAACTCATTTAAATCTCAAAACAACCCGATGGGAAGGTATGTTATTAACCTAAAACTCCGAGAAGTTAATTACCTGGGCCATCCACTTTGAGTCTGACATTGACAGATACTGGGGACACAAAGGTGAGTCCTGGAAACTGAAGCATTAGCAGCCAGCTTGTTTATTCCAACTAAAGCAGTGGGTGAGAGAAAAGTGGCTGCCTGTGCAAACCTGACCAGCCTTCCAGGTCCATCACAAGGTACACCTTTCAGAGGCCTGCCCTGGCAACGCAAGCAGCCCTGGTCTCTCCCTGATAGAGCTGCCCGTGCAGTCCTGCCACCTGATTAAACTGACTTCACCATTCATTGATTAATAGAGGATCAATGTTGTCCTCTAATTGTTGCACGTGTGCTCGTTGTGAAATGCCGGACCAACGTGGGGGCAGAACCTGCCCCCTATACCTCTGTTGAGCCTTCCAAAATGCTCAGCAGAGGACCTGCCCCACAGCCGGTAATCAGCAGCTGAGCCCTAAATAGGACCTATGGGTGCGTGCTGCCGTGCCACCATGGCCTGGTTTGTCCTATCAGAGTGTGGAGAAGTCAGTGCAGACAAGAAAAGTGCTAGTGATGCAACATGGTGGCAAGTCAGAAGTTTGGCATTCTGTGAACAAATGCCAGCAGAAGGGGACGCACAGAACGGGGATTCTGTAGGAAGGCAATCTCATAGGCTCTCTGAGCAGGACTGAGCCCTGGGTGGCCAACACTGTGCTGAGCCAACAGCAGCACGTGAGCTTTGTCCTGGCCCTTTACGACTGGGCCCCATGATAGCCCCATCTCCATAAAAGAGGGTGATGATGGTACCACCGTGTCAGCATGGTGGAGGCCCCCATTGCTCTCCATTCCTGTGGCAGACTACCTTTGTCCTAAAAAGGGGACCAGGCAACACTCAAAACTGTCACACTGGAGGGAGGGGAGATACCTTGCTTTCCTTACCTGTAAAATGGTAAGGCCTACCTCCTGAGTTGATTGTGCAGCCTAAAATAGTTTATCTTTCATGACAGTAGCTAACGTTTATTGAGTACCCACTGTATGCCTGACTCTGCTCTGCACACCTTACATGGATTGCTTCATGTCATTCTCACAACAGCCCAGTGTGGTAGAAAACCATTATTATTTCCCCAAATTATGGATTTGGAAACTGAGGCACAGGGAAGATAAGTAACTTGCTTAACCAGTAATTGGTTGAGTCAGGATTCAGACAGAGAGATCTTGAGTCCAAAAAATATACTTTTACTCTGTCTGTGGAATAAATGAGGGGTGGTATGCACAGTGAGCAGCCGAGGGTCCCATGCTGGGGGTTCCTGGAATCAGCAGTTATTATTATTACCTTATTCTCTGCTTCCTCTTATGTTGTTACTATCCTCTATGTGTCTTTCTTGGTCACTATCCCAGTCTTGCACTCCTAAAGCACCCACATCACAGAGCTAAGCATCCCACAGCAGACACTGTGGACATACCAGCATCACACAGGTCCAGACTGCTGAGGTGACAATGGAGATGATTAACTCCACCACCATTTCCTCCAGAGGGAAACTCAGATGTGGCCCCAGGATTGCCTCTACTGAGGCAGGCTCTGTCCTCGTCAGTGAACTAGTGTGGTGTTGCCCTTTTCCCTGGTTCTGTGACGTCCTCCCCAACGAAGCCAGCAGGGATCATGGCTCGCTCCAGTCTGCCCTGATCCCCAATCGCACCCCCATCACACCACTCCTATAGACACTCAGGGAGTCCCCCACAGGCTGCGTGATTAGGTGGAGCATCTGGGAACAGCAGGAGCCTCTTACTTGTGAAGAAAGACGATCTCCACATTGACATCGTCCCGGTCCTTGTGCAGAAAGTCCTTCAGGAAGTTGGAAACACTCTCCAGAGTGATGTGTCCACAGACCACAATGTGCCTGAACAGGAGAGTCTGGTTAGATCAGGCCAGGCCCGGCGGCATGACCCCACATCCCACCCCCTGCGAGGCTTAGGAAGCGCAGCAGCTGCAGGGAAGCATGCATCTCCTCCAAGGGCCTCAGTGAGGGCACAGCTCCCCTTCCCCGAGGGCTGTGAGGCAAAGCAGCGGTGCTGGCAGGTGCACAGAGACTNCAGCTCCCCTTCCCCGAGGGCTGTGAGGCAAAGCAGCGGTGCTGGCAGGTGCACAGAGACTCCTAGACAGAGAAGGCATATGGCTTCTCACCTGAGGCTGCACAAAATCCTATTAAAAGCCCAACCGTTTGGCCAAGTGGTTTTATGCATTTAACAATAAGTGACATTATGCTTGGGCTTAAATGCTGCATTATCAAGTCCCTTGCAGATTCATATCTCTCCCATTCTGCCCACAAAGCGTCCTCCCGGGAGATTTACTGTATGAGTCTTGGTTTATGACATAGAGCTTATCAGGTAATGAGATAACAAATCTTGCTGAAACGATGATTTTGTGTGTAAGAAAGCGGACTTTTATCAGGGTGGCTAATGTGCGGCTTGACACGTTATAGGCTCTGCTGGCCATAAGCAGTAAAAAGAAAATTTTGCATTTTTCCACCATAACTCCTCCGACAATGGGGGCATGTAACACTTTACAGTAAGTGAGCATTACTCAGGGCTAAATGGGGATGGGACGCCTATGGAATCGAAGATCATGCT